GGGCATATGCTGGATATGCCCCTGATAGGGGTCATGTTCCTGACATGGTATAGTGGTTCATTCACTTGACTGTCAATGGAAAGGTGGAGAGTTTAAATCTCAGCTCGGCACTAACATCTTTTGATTGGAAAGACATGTATTATATTGACTGGCCTTGAGGGAGATCATATTGACTGACTAAAAAACGAGATCAATATGATTTCAGTAAAGGCAATATATCGTTGTATCTACCATAAGATAAGCCAGTTAATATTATAATTATTATCCATTTATAAATCAGGAAAGGATATCGTATGGTTACTATACACTGCTACCGCGCCACATGATAGTCTGCTCAAACTTTGCAGCGATTCAGCTCCCTGGAAGGTCCCAAATGTTGAATGGGGCCAATATGCATCAGGCTTCATATTGACCACAATTTGTATACACAAAGTCAATGGCAAAGCCCGGAAGAATGAAAATATCAGGAAATATTGCCTGCTTGAAACTAATTGCACGGTAAAAATACCTCATATTTGTTATGAATAATAATCTTTATATACCGCATGTCTAGATTCTAGGCTTCTGATTGGTGAAATTTGCAGGCATGAAATTAACTATGGACTGCTGGGCGGTATAGTAAAAAAAAATATTGACCAGGCTTAGAATTATGTCTTTGTACACGGTGCGTAGCTATGGCAATTTAGATATGTTGGGGCGCGGCCAGCACCATATCATACATGAACACCGAACAAAATTTCGAAAGAGCAATCGATGAGAATTATGTTATGGTGCCGTATTTCATCTGTCTTTTAAATTCATTTCTGAGCTCAAGAACGATGCGGTATATAAAACAAATGTTGACTGCTTCTTTTTCGCGTCACAGTAAAAAAAACCATGGCCCTCGGTGATCTCACAACTGCGCTATGCCCCTCGACTGTCGTCTCTGGGAAAAGCACATTGTGAGCTCACCTCGGGCCATAGTTTTCACGGTGCTCCTCAAAGCAGTCAACATTTGTATAATATTTAATGTTAATGGGTACCTCATATACTTCAGCACTTGTCTAGTACTGGGGTAATAATATTGAATTGCAAGCAGTATTACTGTGCGATAGACATGAGTGCTTTAAAAGGAGCGGGTAGTAGTATCATTATTATTACGAGCAAGATAGTATGGTAATTTTCCTGGCATTTGTACTTGAGCTTCACTGAAGGAAGTAATAGATTTTTGTGGTAGCAGTATCTTCTTCTTTTTTTTTTTCATTGTCAATATTATTCTTGGCTCAATTCATCTTTTAGAGCCTGTTTCCGGCAACGTACATTTCCAGTATGATAGCTTTATGAAGGTACTTTGCATCTATGAGCATACATTAGGCTGAGGGCCGTGCCTATGCACCCCCTCAACTTTTAGAAAAGTGTCCCCATCAGAGTAAAAACAAGGTTATTTGGACAAAACAAAAAATAAGTCAAGTGGATAGAAATGAATTTCAAAGTGTGACCTTGGAGAAGGTCACATCTTCTTGCGGGCAGCTAAAACAAATGGTGTAAACATGTGTGACCATGGGTGTTGTAGAAATCTAGAACTAGAACTTACATCCAGAATGTTGCCCTCTTATGATCTCTATAGGACTGTTTTCATCAGCTCGAGATTGCAAAACAGCCCGTTATTTCTGATTTTGGAAATAATCCTGAAGTTACAAATCGCGTCTTCATTAGCTCGAGACTTGACCTCGGAACTTGAAAGTCGAGCTCAAGATATTTTGCTCAGGGTTCGCGCATAAGTGTGAGTATTCGGGCTGGTGAGGACGCACCCGACAAATAACAGGATATTTTGCAAACTAGCCCATGATATCTTGGAATGATTATCTCGACCAAATATCCCGCTAATTGCAACTGCTGGCTGATGAAGGCGCAAATTAACTGGCTAATTTGCGATCAGGATAGTTAAAATAGCGGGTTATTTGGCAATCTCGAGCTGATGAGGACATACCTTATGACATGAACCTGGCTTCACATCTACAAAGGGAAGATGGTGTTTACTCAAAACACTTCCTCTCTTTTAGTTTCAAGGTTACAATGGTCAAATCAAAGTCAGGTAAGGACCATGAACTGCCCAATTAAAATACCTGAAGCAGAGAATGACTATAACAGTGAAATAGGTTAGAAAAGCAACATTTTATCACCTTACAAGTTGTAACAACTTAAGTTTCCTTCTTTTATAGGGGATCAGGATCATCCCTCATTTACTCTACTAGAATTCGTTGTATAAATATATACTTCTCGTTATATTAGCTATACAATTTGCAATTACCTTTTTATCTCGTCTGAATGGTGTATTGAGATACACCGTATAACAAAACGTATCTTTGAGTATCGTTCAAACAAAAAGTTGATAAAGAATCAGGGTCCGCTGAAGTCTGATCATCGTATTGTGTGCAAATCGTATAACTGGGCAGGGCTTGTCGTGAGTGAGCACTGATGATGAGCTTGTTCTCATGTCAACTGATCTCTTCAAAATTAGTTTCTTTATACAATATTGTTTTCAACATGTCTGTATGCTCTTTGCTATACGATAATTGTTTGTACAACATTTTTATAATAATAATAATAATAATAATACATACGATTTATAGTTTTAATACAAGGTTTGTCTAAATTTCCTTTAGTCAGAAGAGCCTATATATTATCGGCATTTGCCTTTGGTGCCATCAGTAGGTCCTCCATTTATAACAAATATTGTTTGCATAGATCTGAAAGGAGAAACTACTGTCCAATTGTACTGCATGATGCAATGAATGACTGGAAACGTAATATATAGTTAAGAAACTTTAAAAAAGCCAAATTCTCCTTCACCTTGCAATAATTAAATCTTTTTCTTACCTTTTCAGGGAGGGGGGGGGGGGGGGGGGGGTGAGGGGGTGAAAAATATAGGCACTTGGTGTTATCAGTAGGTCCTCCATTTGTAATAGTCTTGTTTGCATAGATCTGAAATAAGTAACCACTGTGCATACAAGCATATACACTTGAATTACTGCATCTCCACATTGTTACTGGAGATGCATGGTAGCCTTGCGGAAAGTCTGACTGCTATATTTTGGAGTTGGATGTGAGTGGAAACATCACCTACTGCAGATTCTGTGCTGTCTATGTTGTATCAATATAAGGGTTAACGTTTCAATGTGGACATGTAGTTTACAAGTTGTTTACTAAGTTGTTTGAAAATGTTGTTAACCTCCTTCCCCAGTCCAGTATATTAACAAAGTTATATATTAGTATGAACTTCCCTAGAAGATAATGTCTATATTTGATGACAACTGAGATTTCCACTAGTTTGGTCAATATTTTATGTCAAATATTAACCTAAGTCATCAATATGAGAAATAGTGAGGATGCTGACTACAGATGCAATTGTACAATGAGGGGATTGAACATTTAGGAGCAGCTTGTCGATTAAACAAACTGCAGCACCTTGAAGGAAGGCTTGTTGTCAATGCCAAGTCAAACTATCTCTGGATGTTTGAGGAATCAAGAGATAATTACTGGATTGGCTATCTGACACAGAGAGAGAGAAGAGAATGATTAACTTTGGGGTTATCTCTGGGTGGCCAAGACCGATTAACCAATATGATACAGGTAGTCAGGTACGTGTAGATATCTAAAAAAAACGGTGAGCTGGAAAGATAGATGGGGAGCGGGAGAGTTATAGATGGAGAATTGATTGGTTGAGAGAGAGAGAGAGAGAGAGAGAGAGAGAGAGAGAGAGAGAGAGAGAGAGAGGAGAGAAGGAGTTGAGGAGGAGAGAGGGAGGGAATAGAGAGAGAGATACAGAGTTACAGGCAGACAGACAGACATACAAACATACAGAGAGATAGTATCATAGAGAGGCAAGGAGGATTGAGTGAGGAGGGTGGAAGGTGAAGATATCCATGAGAGAATATGTCAACAGAACCCTTTTTTCGTTAATTGATAGATTACAGCAATTCATTCTCATTTTGATTCATCAATCTCTAAGGATATTGTTACCATAAAAATATTATTTTCTAATGAAAAAATATATACCAACAGATTTTTAAAAGCATGGGTATCGATGGCAGCACACTGAAATAAATATGAAATTTCATTTTTTCAGAAAGAGAAACTATGTGCCCACAAGTTAATAATAAAAAGGAGCCCCTGTTCATCTTTAAAAGATGCTTTCTCGCCATGTTTCATTTCCGAGACCATTGCTTCTACCAAACTTTTGCAACATTGTTGTAACAATGTACATTTTGTACATGTAGAAAGCACTATTGCTAACATCTGACAATGGTGTTGTATGTATTTCGGCCAGAGACCATACATAACCCACCCTACATTTTTTATTTAATCTAAATATTATAGTTCAAATTCAAATATACAATTCTTTCCATCATTTGTTCGGCCAAGTATATTGCTCGTACTAAATGAAAATTCTAAACAAGTAGAGAAGTAGGCCAAATGGCCAATACTTACAGAGAAGATTTGGGGAAATATTTATTAGTAGAGTATTATAACCACTTGAACCGTTCATTAAGGCCCTGGAGATTGTTCTCCTGTCTGTTATCTCTTGTTTGCTTATTTTCATAAATTACTATATTTTTGTGTCAGAACCATATAGTCTTATCATAGAGGTCAAATGCTCTTCCCAAGTTCGGTGTTTACCGAGAGCAACATGTGACCAGTGACATCACAGCTCCCATTTTACGAGGTAGGAAGCGAGAGATATCACAAGTTGCGGTTGCTCCTGCATTCACGTGTCAAGGCTGGAATTTGCTACCTGTAAAGTCGATAGTTCGCGCAGACATTGGACGGCTGGCTCATCTTCTAGAGTCTGAAGTCTCGGTCTGATCATCGATCGTACCCACTTATGGTCTGCGAAAAGGGCTTGTATTGGTCCAAATTCCTCCTTTTTTGCGGCTTTTGTTGTCGTTGAGTCCTCTCAATAGACCTTTCGTCTCTAGACTTTCACCCTTTGAACGTCTTATTTATGTTTTTCGAACCAGATATGGCCGAGCCTTTCCAATTCCCAGGCTCAGTCAACCAGAAAGTTGTGCCACCGGCGTTGCTATGGCAGGGAAAGATCATTAATGGACAAGGTAATTATTCTAAGACGTCTCAAGTTTTATCTTTTGCTACCATCCCTCATCACCTCTATGTTTGTCTTTGTTGCAGAACTTCATCTATAGCAACAACTAAAAGCGTTCATCAAGTCTGCTTCATTTTGTACTAAGTTATAATTCTCTTTTATTGTATCATTGAAGGATAGAATATAAATGAATCTTCAATGCCTCGTCACTTTTTCGCATATCTCAAGTTTCATCTTTGCTATCTTTATCCATCATCGGTATACTTCACCTTTTTGTCTTGTGTCGCAGAACTATATGTCATCAGTGAAAAAATATAATATGCAATCGTCCTAATGCAAGTTAAACATGGAAACAATGCTATCATTAAGTAAAAATCAGCAGTGTCTTTTCTATAATTATTATAAATACAGCACATATGTTACCTAATCATAAAGATCACATACATTTATAATCCTCTACAAATTGGTCTTTATCTGTCATGAGAGCGCATGCAAGGCAAAGTTTTCCGCAGTGTGTTCTTCTGAGCAACTTTTCATATTAAATTCTTTTCAATTTCGTGATTTTTCCATTACTGGCAGATACATAGTGTACTACATTGAATTTATTTTCTTTAGAATTGGCAAACAGGATTTGTATTGCTTTTTGTGAAATGAATACATTTTAAAGGCTTCTTTACAGGCCAAAGATGGTAATGCAATATTATTGCAAATATTTTTCAGTGTGAGACTTTATACACTCCTTGTATCTATGGACATCAGTGCTCTTCACTGTAATCATTTTAACCTGCCTCAATAGAAGAAAACAAATGTACACTATTATGTTAAAAAATAATTGACACCTTCAAAAATACAAGCAAACAGCTAGGACCATCATTGCTTATGATACACTCGCTTTACTACAGCTATATACTTTCCCATATTTCTATTTTATTGAAATTTTCATGCTTGTATTTGTACTTAATGAAAGAAGTCTCATCTTTATTTAAAAAAAATCATCTTCAAGTCATCTTCTGTGTATTCATTTATTTATTAATTTATTTATTTATACATTTATTCATTTATGTTCGTTTTTTTTCTTCAAATTTGTATAATTTTGTTATTTTGAAAGGAACAAGTTAAAAAATTTCTACTCCGTCATATCCACCATTGCTGCTTAAATCTCAAAGATTTCTGTATGGTCACTTCATCACCCATTGAAAGCGTCAAACATTTAATTTTCTGTATAAATAAAAGGGCCCAGTACTCATGGACCCCCAATACTTAGCCCTGGACAGAATGAAAAACATTCAATGTAGAGCCAGTCTTGAAATTGGGAATGTTGATTTCCGTATACTCTTTGTCTTTTCATTACCATTATCAAAAATGTGTATTTGCATATATATCTTGCTTGTAAATTACCTGCCTTTTCTTGAGTAATGTATAAGTTGAACTCTCCTTGCAATTCATCTGACCACAAAGTGGTTAAATGACCTTTGTTGATTAAATAGAATATATTTACTTTGTTTCCTTGTCAGAGTTTAGCCAGTTTTAATTGCTTAAATTGGGTATTTTGTCTTGCTAAATAAATATAAATGATATACATGGATCACTAATGTGAAGGGAAACAAAATTGCATCAGATGCTGTAAGAAGCAGACCGATAATTTCACATATTCACATTAAGCTCAGTAGTCTGAAGTGTCTGGTTAAAACTTGTCAAATATCAAAGTATAATAGATGATGACCATTTACAATTAACTAGCTGAGCAATATGTAGGAGGAAGGAGAAAATTGTGCAATTTCGGCTTTCTGTTTTATTCTTGCGTTTTACTCTGATGAGTGCAAGTCAAAAAGCTTTAGTATGGCTCTTTTCAACACGATTCTCTGATTTTGTAGTACCAATCATCTTTTCAGAAAATTGATACTGCAATCACACTTCAAATTGACCACTGCTGTCTACATTCTTTGTTTACATATATCTCCCAGTCATGATGCAAACAAAAACGTCAAAAACTAATGAACATTGAACTAGTAGCAAGACACCATGGCCTGGGAAGGAAACACTTTGAATCCCTTTTCGTCACCTTTGGAAGTGGATGGCTACTAATTTAGCATGCCCAAAGGTTAATTACTACGGCAATAATAACAATACAAAGGTCAGCCCATTTCCTGTAACACTTCAGGACACTTCATATCTCAGACATGAATACATGTGGGTGGACATTGAACAATGTACTTGTACTCTTAGGACATTGACCACTAACTGATCGATTATAACTGTCTGATTTCATAGGACAAGTCCAGATTCACAATTAACTGTTTAAGTACCAAGTACAAACTTTAAGAGCCTGTTCACACTGGAGAAAAAGTTGCATGGAAATTGTAGAAACAGGTAAAGAATCATTGGATAGCAAAAGAGGTGTTAACACTGGATAACATCATCATTTATAGAAACGTGTAAAGAAACAAGTTTCAAAGAGGTCACTTGACACTTACGATTAGCCCTGCCAAGTTCTATGGTTTTCGTAAGATACAATGTTTCATTCTAATGCTCAAACGATGAGTTTTGCTATATGACGTTTCTTCAATACAACGCTCGGACTAGAAAAAAATGTATTATTTATTGGTCAGCTATAAGATATTTGTATATAGTCCTGAAATTGATATTTTTATTTTTTAATTTTAAGTCTGAACAGAGAGAAATAATGACCCAAGAAAACTGTTGAAGATTTGTCAAGCTTTCTGTTCTATGGCAAGGTCGTCACTGACACAGTCGTCACTGACAAGGTCATTCTCAAACTGTAAAAGAAATTAAGATACCGGTAGGTAAAAGAATCCAAATATTTCAGGATGGATGACTAGAACCAGCTAAAAATTTGGTGACCACAGTCGGTACTTCCTGTTACCTGTTTTCCAATGTCTCTCAAAGTCCCAGCGAAGTATATGTGATATTTTTGTATCTATCATTTTTGGAAAACTCCACCCTGATTGGAGGCTGATTGGATTCAGTACCAAAAAAAAATAAAATCAGAAACTAAAGAAATGTAATAGTAAAATCATAAGACTATACAATGTATTAAAGTAGATCACATGAAAAACTGTGTGTTGTATCGTGTATATGCTGATATCTGTTCAAACAGTGCAAGGTAGTCTAAAAAAGACTTAATTCGTTTCTGTATTTGCATTGCACGCTATCACATATCCTTTACCCGAAGGAAACACATTAATGCATGAATGTTTCAAAACATGAACAGTATCCTGCAAACATGAATACCTGAGTCTATTATATCTGTTTCTTTACAATCTATTCATTCCATTGGGGTCTACACCGCGAGTCCCTGTTTGAGATTTGCACTTGAGAGCACACGGTCGGTCACTCCATAATGTCTAGGGTTATTTGAGACGGGACAACCTAGATATTGTGCACACACTCGGGCTCTGATCCGGCTTAATTCCAGCTATGTTTGGTGATTAATTGTTCCCGAGTCAACCAATTGAGGTTTTAGTGATAGCATGTCTATGGCCTATTGAGTCCGAGGGAGGGGCAGGGCAGGCCGAGATGATGTTACGAGGGGGGCGGGGGTAGGGCAGGTGTATAACTTGTGATCCACAGGTGTGTGGATTATTTTTTGTTGGGGGGGGGGGGGGAGTCTTAATTGTGATTTTTGAGTGATGTTATATTTATGGTTACTACTATCATGGGTAGATGATAAACTCTTGGCGAAAAATGCAGGAACTTGTACTTGTTAGCAGATAGATAGTGCACTTGTGGTCTTTTCATGATATGTTTCAGTTTATAGATGACTCTCCTTCCCCCCCCCCCCCCCAAGCAGACTAATGTCTCGGTTAAATGCATGACAATCTTTGTGTATAGTTATAAAATGTGATAAACGATTCCATCAACACAAATGACTCTATGATACAATGGTCACAAATAATTAGATAAAATATGGTTATATGATGGGCCTTAATTACCGTAAACCAGTAGAGCATTTAAATCATGTCTTAAGTTTATGAAACGGGTTCAAAAAGATGAAAAGGGGGTGATTGATACCTGTGTCCCACATCCCTTATCTATCTACCTATAGTATAGTGTTCCCCATGTTTTTCCCCATTTCTTCATTTCACGCCACGCCATGTTTACCCAACCCATTGGGTCTGGTTAGTGTTTAACTATTTATGATTGTTCCCTATTCTTATGATAGTCTCCAAGTTCAGACTCTTCATCTGATGCTGATATCATATGTTATGAGCCAGAAGGGTGTTAACTCATGTTCCATGATATAAGTTAACACCCTTTTAGCTCTTGGCAGACAATACAGTTTACAGTTCGTAGTTACTGGAACTAAGCCTACATCAGCTCATTTACCAGTTTGCCATGTACTCCAAAAAACAAGTGTTGTGAGATATAGTCTATGTTTTAAAGACCCTATAGAGTTAAAGACTATGGTTTTTCAATGGAAGCTCTTGTCATGTAATGTTTATAATTAACCTGTAGATAATGGTGCAGAAGATATCTCGGTCTGAAAAATGTATTTGTATTTGCTATGGGATTGGGGAAATAACAGAAAGGAATGGACATTCATGTGTATACTAGCTATCACCTAGATAATATGTTATTAATCCTACTTTAAAAGGTTAATACTAGCCTGTGGCTTAATATGCAAATAAAAATGCTGTGACTCACATACAGAACATACTTGCTTGTGGGGTTACAAAGTTTGAAATAGTTGCATCAGTTTGCTTTATGTATAATGTGGAGTGTGTATCTGGTACATTTGAACTGTTTGGGTTATATTATTATATCTTGACTGTAAATCCAGAAATATTAGCATCCATGAAAATTCATGAATTCTGTGAGTTTCATGCTCCACAAAATAGTTTTATCTCTCATTGTCATAATGTAAAATTTTGAAAATTCTGAAAATTTCTTTGCAAGAAAAGGGTTAAATTTCATGAGGCCGGTAATAAGGTTGACACCTTTGCGAGCTATTGTGTGATTTCAATTTTGTCAACAATAAACAGATATTTC